AAACAACAACAAAAAAAGCTTTTTCTATATGTGTTGACGTAATCATGTGATTTTTGGGGTTTTAGCCCATTGAGGTGATAAATTACATTAATTGACTTTGAAACAATCTTAAATGTAGTATGTAATCCTTTTTATAGATTGTTGGATTCAACTTGATAATATTTTGCTGAAGATTTTTGCATCTGTGTTCATGAGATATATTGGTCTATAGTTTTCTTGTAATGTCTGTTTTTTTGTTTTTGTTTTTTTTTTTGGTTTGTTTTTAGGGTAATGCTGGCTTCACAGACTAGGCTAGGAAGTATCGTCCCATCTTCTGAAAGATATTTTAGAGGATTAGCATAATTTCTTCCTTAAATATTTGATAGAATTCACCAGTAGTAAAAAAAAAAAAAAAAAAAGAAAGAAAGAAAAAAAGAATTCACCAGTAGTGTATCTGGACCTGGTGCTTTCTATTTTGAAAGGTTATTAGTTATGTGCTCACTTCAGCACCACATATACTAAAATTGGAACGATAGAGAGATTAGCATAGCCCCTGTGCAAGGATGACATGCAAATATGTGAAGCATTCCATATTTTTAAATTTTTTTTTTTTGGAGTGGTTTTTGCTGTAGGGCACATGTGCTCACCAGAAAGACAGAGAGAGTCAGAGAGACAGAAAGCAAGAAATCACTGCCCAGGGGAGATGGCCATGCTGCAATCCCTTCTCCTCCATTCTCCTCACAGTATCTTGGGCACTCATGCACACGCACCCAGTGAGAGATTTAGCCACCAAGTCCGGGACTCAAACTGCAGTTGATTACATGGGAGTCCAGCGACATAGCCATTACACCAACTGCTGGTCCCTGTCGTGACTTTTTCAACAACCCAATAGATATAGGCCTATTCATAATGTCTGTTTCTTCTTGTGTGAGTTTTGGCAGATTGTATTTGTAAACGATTGGATCATTTCATTTCAGTTATCACATTTGTGGGTATAAAGTTATTCATAGTATTCTCTCATTACCCTTTTAATACCTTTTTTTAAAGTATTGTTTTTAATTTTATTTATTTTTATTATTTTTTAAAAAATTGACAAGAGGGAGCAGGAAAGGGTAAGTGAGAAAGCAAGCCACCAAATCTGAGTCTCAAACTGAGGTTGGCCATATGGGAGTCCAAGTGCCTTAAGCACCAAGCAACCTGTCGATCCCCCTTTTAATATCTTTGGATATTAAAACATCTGCAATGAAAATCCCTCTTTCACTTCTCGTCTTAGTAATGTGTGTTCTCTCTTTTTCTTAGCCTGCTAGAAGCTTGATTTTATTGATCTTTTTTAAAGAACCAACTTTTGGTTTTGTTGATTTTTTCAATGGATTTTGTTTTAATTTTATTGATTTCTGCTCTATTTTATTTTTCATTTATTTGGATTTAATTTATTCTACTTTTTAAAAATTTCCTATGGTGGAAACTGATTATTGATTTTAGATTTTTCCTTCTTTACTAATATGTGCCTTTTTAATACTATAAAGTTCCCTTTAAGTACTGCTTTCATTGCATCCCATATATTTTGCTAAGTTATATTTTTATTTTCATTTAGTTCAAAATACTTTAAAAAATTTCTTTGGACTACCTTCATTAACAACGTACTTACACACACACACACACACACACACACACACGTGCAAATGTACTTAGGAGGTGTGTCCTGGCCTGTTCAGGGAAGCTATGCTCTAAGCTTCATCTTCCAGACCCCCAATATATTCAGACAAGTAGAGGAGAGATTTTTGTCACAGAATGACCAGAAAACACCACAGAGGCACAAGAAACATGAGAAACCAAGAAAATATCTCTCCTCTAAGGGAGATATTTTTCATCTCTTAAAAGCTCCATTTGATTTCTTTTTAATGGCCAGAAGGCACACGTGCTTGCCACAGAGAGATGGGGAAGGGGGAAGGGAGAGAAAGAGAGAGAAAGCATCATCTCTCCCAGTGGGGGGTGGTCATGCTGCAATCCCTTCTTCATCTCTCCATCCTGTCAGGATTTGGGGTGCACACACACACGTTTTTCAAGACACCAGGGGCCAGGATTCTAATCATGGTCAGCTATATGGGATCCTGTTCCTGTAACCTGTAGCTTATGGGGTTGGTCCATTTGATTTTTTTATATCTTATTTCTCTTCTTATCATGTCCTTGTTTTCAATTACTCCTTTAGAGCTTGGAACATATTTATACAGGTGTTTTACTATCCCTGGTGACAGACCCTTATCTCTATCATTACTTAGTCTCTGTTTAATGATTGATTGTTTACCTAGTTACAGACCTTATTTTCTTGCTTCAACAGATGGTTAGTAATATGTGACAGAATGCTGAACATTGTGAATTTTATATCATCAAGTGCTGGACTTGGTCCTTCAGAGAGTATTGAACTTTCTCTGGCAGGCAGTTTAAGCTACATGCAGATTATTAGTTTGATCCTTTGAAGTTTGTTTTTCATCTCCTTAAGGCCGTTCTAGAGTTTCCTTTATCCTAAAGCAATTCAAGTACACTTTCAAGGCATGGCCCTTCTGGAGACTATATTTTTTATTTTTAAAAATAATTAATTATTTAATTTATTTTATTATCATTATTATTTTTTAATCTTACCAGAGAAAAACAGAGAGTGAGAGAGGGAAAGTGAGAAAGCAAGCTACCAGGTCCAGATCACAAACCGCTATCAGCCATGTGGGAGTCCAGTGCCTCAACCACCATGCCACCTGCCAGCCCCTGGAGACTACATTCTATACACTGGATATTCAACGAGACTTATCCACTCTAACTGGTGGGAATTTCAATGGTTTTCAGCCCTCTGTGAGAGTTGAAATTTATTTGCCTAATAACTCCTTCGCAATAATTCTTTTCTTGGAAGTTCTCATCCATTCTAGAGGAATTTTACCATATGCATAAACAGATTTGCCTTCAGCCTAAATCTCACAAGATCTTCTGTGCAAATTTCTAAGCTCAGTGTAACGCTTGCCTTTTAAGTACTTGGCCCTGAAAATTTTTATCTATCTTGACCGCTAAAAAAATTTTTTTGGCACATAAATTTTTATGTTAATTTGTACCACATAACGTTTCAAAGTATGAATGGTTAAGTCTAGTCAGCATTACCTCATATAGTTATCATATTTGAGCCACTTTGACCTTTCCAAACTCTAGTCTCTATTTAGGCTTCCATCTCCAAACCAGAGTCTGGGGATTGTCTCTAATCAGAGGCCTAGGTGATAGGAAGTCTCATCTTACTTGTTCTCCTTTGCTCAGGAACCACAGCTCTGTGTTGACCTTTGATCTATATCCCAAAATAGCTTTTCTTTTTTTTTTTTTTTTTTTTAGTTTTCTAGTTGTTTATAATTAGAATGTATCTCTGGTTTAATCTTACTTTTTTTTATCCCCCCACTAAGAGTACTTAGTGGAATATTTAGCAATGGATTGAGGGAACCTCCAAAATGAAACATACAGACTAAAGCAAAGGGCCAAAAAGGAACCAAAGAAAATAGATAACACAGAGAATAAAAGAAAACATTTTTAAAGATTTATTTAATTTTATTTATTATTATTATTTTTTTTAAAGTTGCTATAGGGCATGCACACTCACCAGAGACACACAGAGAGAGAAAGTGAGAAAGCAAGCCACCAGGTCTGGGGCTCAAACCATGGTCATCAGTGGGAGTCCAGTGCCTTAACCACTATACCACTTGCTGGCCCCAAGAAAATATATATATTTTAAATTTCATAATTGAAATCCTCAGTGAGATAAGAAAAGTTATTGCATCCCTTAAATAAGAACAGAATATCATAAAAAAGTTTAATGCAGAGAATAAGAATGTTTTTGAAATTAAAAATACACTAATAGAAATAAAAACTTTAATAGGTGGTATTAAATGTGCAAATGAAGAAATTCTTGAACAAAGACAAAAAGAGAGAAAATAGAAGACAAGACCATTACAGACTTAGCAAGAGAGCCCTAATTTTCTTCTTTTAAAGAGATTTTTGCTGTAGGGTATGTGCACTCATTGGAGAGACAGAGAGAGACAGAGAGACTGAAAGTGAGAAATTGACCCCCCCAGGGGTCACTGCAATCCCTTCTCTTCTGTTCTCCTCCTAGGATCTTGGGCACACATGCACACATGCCCAAGCATGAGTTTTCGATCACTGGGTCCAGGACTTGAACTACAGTCGACTTTGTGGAAGTCCAGTGATATAATCATTATGCCATCTGCTGATCCTAAGAGCCCAAATTTTTAATTAAAAGGTCTCTAGAAAAAGAATAGAAAGGGTAAAAAAAATGAAGTAGGGCCAGCAGGTGGTGTGGTGTTTAAGGCAGCAAGATCCTACTGGCCTATTGTGTGGTTCAAGTTCCAGATCTAATGGCTTGAAATACATGCCTGGCACATGTGTGTGCATGCCCAAAATCCCAAGAGGAGACTGGAGAAAGGATTGCAGCATGGCCATCCTCCCTGGTCAGTGTTTTCTCAACACACACCCACCCCCAGCCCTACATCTTTTTCTGGCAAGTACTCATGCCCTATGGCAAATTTTTAGAAAAAAGGCCAAAAAAAAAAAAAAGAAAGAAAACTCCAACTGAAGCATATGGGTCTCTAGACATAAAAAGACCACTGACTACCCAGCTCAGTGAATTGTTAAAAGATCTAAGCTGGACTACCATGCAGAAGAAACAATGGTCTGTGAGGCTGACCCACATGGAGAGGTTATAGGTTCACATCCAGAGACCTCCCTGTTTATGTCAGGCACATACGTGCCTATGGTCCAGGCTGGTCGATGCTGGGGGAGGATCACAGCATGAAGATACTGTTAGGACTCTCTCCCTCTCTCTCTCTCTCGTCCCATTCTCTCTATCTCTTGTTCATAGAAGAAAGGAATTAATAAACATTAAATAATTTTTGGTAATTTTGAAAGAGCCATTCCAAGGTATATCATGACAAAGTTCCAGGACACTGAGAAAAGGAAAAGATCTCAACAACATCCAAAGGTCAGGACTAACAATGGCATAGCAACACAAAGCTAGGGGACAGTGGGCAAATGCCCATAACTTCTGAGAGGACATATTTCTCACCTGCAGTTATCAGACAAGCTGTCAAACAAATGTAAAAGTAAAATAAAGACAATTTCAAATACATATGATAATGAAACTTTTACCTTCTGTTCTGTTTTCTTTTCTTTTTTTTTTTTAAAAAATGAAGTAACAGGAGGATATGCTCCATCTGTCAGGGTGAAAAAAAAGAGGATGACGCAGGATCCAGGCCGTGGGAAATCTCAAACAGAACAAGGCTGCTGGGAAGCTCCAGGTTTCCAGCTGTGCAAGGAGCCCAGAGAATAAGCAGCACAGAGTGACTCCCTGAGGCTGGTTTAAAAGAAAGAAAAAGAAACTGTTTACTTGATATGACTGTGTTGCAGAATTTTATTTAGTATATTATCTAGAATCATAAAGGCAAATATGAGAAAGTGAAGAGAGTTGAAATGTTACTTCTGCATAGTGAGAATTGAGATCAGGAGGGCCTTTGCTATCAGGAGGGGATTTACTTTCTATTTTAGCTTTGTATCTAT